GAGTTCTTTGGTGTGGGTGGAGTTTGTCTTAACTGTGATTAGTGAAGTTCTTTGTGTGGGTGGAGTTTATTTTAATGTAATTGGTGGAGTTCTTTGGTGTGGGTGGAGTTTGTCTTAACTGTGATTAGTGAAGTTCTTTGTGTGGGTGGAGTTTATTTTAATGTAATTGGTGGAGTTCTTTGGTGTGGGTGGAGTTTGTCTTAACTGTGATTAGTGAAGTTCTTTGTGTGAGTGGAGTTTATCTTAACGTGATTGGTGGAGTTCTTTGGTGTGGGTGGAGTTTATCTTTTCATTTATTCATTTATTCTTTTCATTAAAACAAAACTAAAAAATATATATTCAATAAAAAAGAAAAATATATACAAAAGAAAAATTAGAAAAACAATATATGTGTATCAAAATCACAAATGAAATGAAAGGGAACAGAGAGAAGAAAAAATCTTATAACATCTTAACGTGATTGAGTTCTTTGGTGTGGGTGGAGTTTATCTTAATGTGATTGGTGGAGTTCTTTGGTGTGGGTGGAGTTTGTCTTTACCGTGATTGGTGGAGATCTTTAGAGTGGGTGGAGTTTGTCTTTAGATTGATTGGTGGAGTTCTTTGGTGTGGGTCGAGTTTATCTTAATGTGATTGGTGGAGTTCTGTGGTGCAGGTGGAGATTGTCTTGACCATGTTTGGCAGAGTTTGGGATATAGGAGGAGTCTCTTGAGTGAGTGGGGTTAGATAAAATCCTGATTGGTCAGCTTGACTTGTCGTGTGGGKCAAGCTAAAAGATTAAGTAATCTTAAAGGCACAGTGGGTAGGATTTTGTCATCTTTTAGCCGAAATTGAGATAATCACTAATGACAATAATAAAAAACATGTCTAATCATTGCAGACAAAGACCTTGTTTTATTATTTTTACCTTATAAAAAGCTGTTTATATCTCCATGGTCGCAGGTCGCCACTACAGGCAGCCGCCATCTTGCACCGCCATCCTGTCTACGAAGGTTCATGAAGGACAAATTGCGGTGGCGGTGTCAAAAACGGTTTTAGTTGTAAAACTATAAATGTAATATTTGTTGTCTGTCATTGTAGCTGGGATAATTTTACTTATTAAAGCTCATAATCTTACCACTTGAAACATCACTAGCCCTGAAGCTGCTGGTAGACATCGCGGTTTGAATTATCGAAGGTTTTTGACACCTGAGAGACACCGTAGAAACTCCTTTGCGTTTGGAAGCGGGGGGTGGGGGTGGGGGGAGGACCAGGGTGGATGATTCATCCACTCACCACTCAACCACTAGATGTCGCTGAAAACAACAAATTCTACACACTGTGCCTTTAATAGAAAAATTGCTGTGAACATGTAAATGTAATGTATTTACTTCAAATATGGTGCAACTAGCACCTGTTTAATATTCATATACAAAATATCTTTTTCCAGGCGGGCTGTTTTAACTAAGCTGATTTGTTACACGTCCCTCCACATACGTTGTTCGGTTTGCACCAAGTCATCTCAAACTATGACTAAAAATAACATTTATATTTAAAAATATATAGATTTCTGGCTGCATGTCTCTCCAGCTGTCCAGACTTCTTCAAACCTCACCCAAAATAAGCAATTGGACCAATCACAACTTTAACAAACTACTCCCACAAAAGTCAGTCTGACCAATCTTGATAAAAACTTCCCACACAACAAGAAATTCCCACTTAGTGACTGCAGAGGCCCTCTTTTCACATTCCTTGGAAAAAAAAATGCTAAACTCACCGCTGTTCATGCCATAATTTTAAACTAAATCACGGCATATTGAAAAATGAGTTGTAGTCATTCCAAATTTCAAAATAAGATTTTGCAAGATATCATGCGTAGAGTACAGTATGCATTCTGAATTATTCTTAGTCACTAACATGTCAAATTTTAGCTCTGTATTTTTAAAATTAACTGCGTTTTAGCTGTTTGTGTGTAAGCTGTCAACTCTTGAATTGAATTGACTCCCAAAGATAATCAGTTGTAGATCCAATGATTATTTTCTGAAAGGTCCATTAAACGTTCTCCTGTGGTTCATGAGATATTTTAGTAACAGACACAATAACACACTCTTGGTCAAAAAATGTTATCACCTGCCTTTCGCCTTCTGGAGGCAGGCGATAATGAAGTATCTGTGATTTTTGCAGAATTGAATTCTGCCACATTAACTTTGACAAAAACTAAAAAGAGGATGGAAACATTAAACCTAAATCTGCTACAGGGAGATGAAGAAAAAGAGGAATTTCCAGAAAGATGAGGCTCTTTTAACATCCACAGTGAAAAGACGGGCCAGCTGCCTCCAGTTCTTATCAGCATTAATTATTTGGAAACCTGGAACACAAACACACACAGCGAGAGAAAGGGCCAAGGGAAAGCAACTTATTTACAAAAACATTTTTATGAGCCAAACATTTTGTATATCTATCGAGTCACTCTCCTCAAAACCAATAAATAAACGAAAGATTTCCAAGTTTATTCAGCCCTCGGAGGAGTTTTAGCAGTCAGTCAAGTGAATTTTATCAAATGCGTAAATTTATGTAAGTTCTCTGTTTGCCTAAGGGCCGATATTCCAAATGACACGTAGTTCCTTGGTGACATTGGTTTCTTAAACTGAAAGCTGCTTGCTCTGTCTGCTCGACTTTATTGTTTATATGATTCAGACCTTGATCATCCCAAGGTCTTGGATTACCTGCAACAAGGCACAGTTTAACAAATTTAGTATATTTTTTCTCACATCAATGTTTCCCATCCACTCATGAAGGAGAAAACGAGTTCATCCACCAAAGTCAATGAGCCTCTCCGATTTTATTTTATTTTTTTTGTGTCACTCTCAATAGTTTCTTTTCTTTTGCTTTTCAGAAGCCTCTCCAAATGACTTTATTGCATATCTGAACATCCTAAAGTTGTGTTTCCTGTCTGCAGTGACTCTTGTGTTTTTCCTGGAAGGTGAGACCTACTTAGCGCGAATTACAGGAACCTATTAAAAAATCGTGTTTAATTTGTGCAATCTTGTTTTCCACAGCAGTCAAACATGCCTGGGTGCAGCGAAAGTGACGCCCGCCATGCGAAAACAACATTTCTCCCTGCCTTCGGCAAACACGGACGTGTGCATGCACGTGCACACCCACTCGCATGCAGGGCTATTTTTTTTTATTGTCTTATCACCGTAACCTATCACACACACTGTTAGGAAAAAGTCAACACTGACGCAACGACCAATTACTGCCTTTCAGGAAACGTGAAATGAAATCGGAGAGGAAATAAAAACTGGACTGTTGGTGTTCAGAATGGCTCATCTCAGCAAAGCAACCTTTGACAAACAGCTTCATTCAAATTCAAGTCCGGTGACATCACAAGAAAATGGATTCTGAACTACACACGAACGATTTCCAAAGACGCCTCTCCTTTATGTTTGATGTTAGTTTTATTTAAGTCTTGTTTGTTTACGGTACGCTCATTGGTTCAAGTGTGCATAATTTATTTTTTGTTGCTCCCTGTCCTCTAAATCCTGATTCGTTTCTTTCCGCACATCAAAGCTGATTATCTGTAACTTTTTTTTATCACCGCAGCATGCTGACGAGCGTGCTTTTTAATTTGTTCGTTGCATCAGTGGCTGGTAGCCCGCGCGTGTTAGTCATTCGCTGATGTTTGAATGCTTCTTACGTATGTTTTTTATTCATTTGTCAAAAAAAAATAAAAAGGTGCAGCGATTAGCTCAACCTCCRTACTTTGTACAAAACAGGATTTCAGGATTTTGCTTGTGTAAAAAGATGTGTTCATGTTTGCATCATAAAAGGTGAGAAGTTGATTCATGTGTTGGAGGGCGTTTATGTTAAATTTAGCCGTGAACGCAAAAACCTATTGCCAGAAATCGTGATTATGACTCTTAAAGCATGCAAATAAATCTATGGTGTAACCAGATTAGTGACGCCCAAAACAGGCTGAATAAAGTTCTGATTACTCACATTATAATCCACTTTTTTCTTTTGCCCATTTTTTAAATTGTACACATCCTGAACACGACTGATCTGATGACGACTGAAAGATTCGGTGGGAACAAGTCATTCATTTTTTCAAAAACAAATTAGCTTTTATGTCTTCTCCCTCATGCAAACACAATGTTTTCTTGTGAAGTTACATTCCTTCTGCAGTTAATTGTTACTTTAATACACGATTATTTGTTTACTTTGCATTGGAAACATTTGCATGGTCTTATGCAGGGGTGGGCAGTCCTGGTCCTCAAGGGCTGCAGCCCTGCATTGGTTTAGTTGTTTCTCTGTTCCAGCACACCTGATTTGAATGAATGGGTGATTATCAGGCTTCTGCAGAACTTGAAAGAGGTACTGCATGACTGTAATGGATGTTTTGGAGCAGGGAATAAAGTAAAACATGCAGGGATGCGGCCCTTGAGGACCAGGATTGTCCACCCCGGGTCTTATCAGACTGACGTCTTTACAAAATACTCTGAGTCATTAATTATGTAAAAGCTCTTTTTATGTGATTTGTTGTATGAAAATAATGCTTCTTTCTGTTTTACAAGACATTAAAAAATATGCACAAAAATTACAAAACACAGATGTGATTGAATAAAAAAATGTTGCACAGCACATTCAGATAGTTTTTAAAGATTAAAGTCTCATTTCTACATTCTAGAATCCACTGTCTTTTCTTGTTCTTTTTGCAGCCACAGCTCCATACGTAATGAGCACGTTTCTTCAAACAGACAGCACATCATGTTTGTGATTAAAGCAGGAAAGAAAGCTTTGTCACGTTCGCTGAGGAAATAACGGCCGAAGTTCTTGCTTAGGTGTTGTTTTCTTGTGGTTGCGTTGTCATGTCTCCACAACACCCTACTGCATTATGGGAGTTATTTTGAAACCCGGCTGCTTAATGCAAGAAATGCTTCTTTTATTCCATGTGACAGTTCAAGGCAGCCTGTCTCTGCAGCTTTGCACAGTACGCTGCATTGGAAAATTGATGCGGCTTTCTCAGGCAAACAGAAGGTTGCCTCAAATCAGAGGTTCATCAGAGAGTCAAACAAAGCGTGCCGCGTTGTTTACAGCCCAGCCGTTTTTCATGTGTGTAAAAACATAAACATGGAATTAATTTCCTGCTTGCAGAAATGAAGAAATTAGAGGAGGCTGCTGCTCCCCGTTCCCTTCCTGTCAAGTGTGATAGCATTGATCTCCTCTTGTTTGTGTTCTTTATCTTTTTCAGGCTCATTATTTCCCTCCCACATGGCCTGGAATATGCGACAGGACAGGCACCTGCGGAGGTGACTTTTAACCCCTTCGGTCATTTTACTGACAGTTCCTCTCACGGCTGACGAGGAGAAGTAGAAAATAAATGGGTCCAGGCACGTGTTGAAGGTGCTGCACAGGAGGGCTTTGTCTCTCCAYGCAGGGCTTTTCTTCATGATGAAACCCACAATGTGGGAGACGTTGTAGGGGCCGAAGCACAGAGCAAAAACCAGCAGTGTYCCCAAAGCCATGCCGATGGCCCGGAGGCGGCGGCGCCGGTCAATGTGCTGCAGCCTTGACAGAATCCTGATGAAGTTGATGTAGCAGAAACTGGATATGAGGAAAGGGATGCAGAACAGCACCACGCACAGCTCCAGACGCACAGGGAGGAGCACCTTCAGCTGCTCTGCGGTAAAGTTTTCGTAGCACACCTCGCTCTTGATTTCGTCGCCAAAGGTGGAATTTCTGTGGCTTTCCTCTCCGATGAACGGCACGATGAACACAATGCTCAGATGAAGGAAGGAGAAAATCCAGAAGAAGATGCTGGCGGCAACGGCGTACACTGGTCGGCGCTTCAGGGTGTGCTTGATGGGGAAAGCCACGCCCAGGTAGCGCTCCACGCTGACGGCGGTGAGGAAGAAGGTGCTGTTGTAGATGGTCATGTAGAAGACAAAACCAGAGACGGGGCAGAGGGCGTAGGGCAGCTCCCACTTCATGTTGTTCATGGCCTCCTGCATCTTGAAGGGCAAAAACAGCAGGAAGAGGAGGTCAGAGATGGTCAGGTTGAGGAGGAGGATGTCGATCGGTGTGGGCCTCTGCCTCACCTTCTTCAGAAAGGTGTAGAAGGCCAGGACATTTGCCGGGAAGCCCAGCACAAAGGTAATGATGTAGACAGAAAGGCACAGGCCGGTGTGGCACTCCTGCATGTTGGCTTCAGCGTTAATCTCTCCGAACTGTCAGGAATTGAGACGTGTCACATTATGTCCTTGGCTCTGACTCTGGAGATGAATAGACTCCCCGCACAGGGAAGTCTGATCTGTCAGGCAGTCCGAAGCACAAAGCACAAAGGCTTCTTATTAGGTCAGTGGCCTGGAACAAACCCGAAAAGGCAGCGTGGTTCCCCTGTCCCCACCAGTAACCCAGCACTCATCGTTTCCTCAAGGGCTCTGAGCTCTGCTGATAAGAGAAAATGGAAAGCGATTACCACACTGACAGCAGAGTCTTTCAAACTAGATCTCATTTGACACTTGGATTAAAATATGCACTGTTATACTGTCCATTCAACTACAGCTAACAAAAGAAAGGTTTTCAGAAACAAACAGTAATTCCTGCTCCTTATACTCTGTCCTTATCTGTACCTCAGAGTATGTTGAGTGTATCAGTTCATAATTGGTTTTATGAGTTTGTATACAAACCATACTGTAAATATGGATGATGCTTTTATAAAGAATTTCCAGATCATTGTATTACTTTATGTTCAAGTTGTAGACATTTTGTGAACATGTCCTCATAAATCTATAATAAGTTAACTTAACAAGAGAAATTAGAGCCTTGGAGTTTTATTGAACACTTCTTTGTATTTCTAATATTATTCTGCATTTGTTGGGAATAAAATACAAACTAGAGGCAAGTATATGATGGAAAACAGTCTAAATTAATATTAAGGAGTGTAGAGTATCTAAATAAAGCTACATTTTCTTACCTTTAAGCTGCAAGGCTGCACCAAGTGACAAGGCATCACTTGTGGTTGAAACTTGGCTCTTATAGTCTAATCAGAAAGAAAGAGGAAGTGAACTGTGTGTTATTTTTTTCTCCTTTCAAGAGACGGTGTTGAAATCAACAAAGTACACCAAATGAAGCAACCTGAAAACTTCCCCATTGTCTGCAACAGCAATTTACCAGTTTGTAAAATCTACCTCCACAAGCTTCCTTTTCAATAGGAACGACAGGTAACTGTGGCTTACCTGTGCTGCAGGTCATCTGGCACATCCCCCTGTTTGCAGGATAATCTAAACATCCAGTGCAGATAATAGAAATGATTATTATTAGAGGGACACTGGCCCAGTTTGTCACCAAACACGGTCTGGCACGTTTTATTTTTTTCTTGAGTGTATTTTAATCATGTAAGTCAGGGAAAAGAGGAGAGCTGCTATCAGCGCCGTCCCTCCCTGAGCAGCATGTGGCGAAGGCGGCAGGGCCGGCTATATGGTCGACAAACAGAGGCTCGCTGTTTGGATAGTGATAAACGTCACAATAAAAAAATGAAATATATCATGCATGACTTGTTTTGACTCCAAGGATTCGGCTCACACTTGGTGTGATCAATCTGTATTCTGCAGCTGAATGACTCKTTTTGCGTTAAGCTAAAATCAGAGCAACAGGCCAACTTCAACTTAAACAGGTGACACATAAAACACAGGTAGTCCTAGTTAATTTTWACAAAGTCACACAGGCTTTTGAAATTGTAACGACTCAGGGGTGTACAGAGTCCTTTTCATGTTTCTTAATCACACTGAGGTGCTTTCACTTGAGACAAGTCTTTAAACAGTTGATTTGCATGAGTTTCAGTTACTTTTCTCAGCCTTCCTTCTCATAAGATATTAATCTTTTTTTTACCGTGTCACTCACTTCTGCTTGCTGCTATTGATCTTATTTTAAAAACCCCTCTTTTAACTCACTTTGCCCCGTAGGCAGGCGAGCAAACACAAGCCGTGTTTCTGTCTCAAGCGATCATGTTAGCAATCCTCGCATAATTCTGGGCAATCGCAGCGCATTAGGCAAGCTGCTGGGTTCTGCTGAAAGAGTTGGATTTACACGGCGACGTCAGGGAGTTTCAGAGATGGCTGCCTGTCCGACCACAAACGTTTCTGTAACCTTGGTGATGTTTCATCAGCGCGCCACCACGGCACGCATCAGAAATTAAACAATTCAGCCTCTTGGSGAAACGTCGGACGAGCAAATCAAAAGAGACATGCATGCAGGGTACTGTTTTGCATTTTCACACTTTGGATTTCACTTTTTCTTATCTTCCACAATGCCGTGAGTCGGAAAATAGTTTGTTTTTGCCTGCGTTAAAGCTGGCCTGTAGCYGGAAAGTATTATTCGCGGCACTGATTGTGACATCCAGTAAGCAGGTTTTGATGAGTGAACAGTTTTTGTTCAGTCGTTGCTTTTAACCACAAAAGCTTTTATTTTGACCTGAATRTCTTGAAACATTTTCAGAGGTAATAAAACTAGAGCAACTTGTGGATTTTAATACAGCTGTGGGTTTGTTTAATTTGGACTTTGATTCTTTTTTTTTTTGAAGCTCAGCCATCAAAAATACTGTTTGAGTTGAGGTTACAAATATTTTGTAGAGGTGAGAAAGTACAGTATAGCCCTTTCAAATACGTGTAGACAAAATACTTTTTGCATGGATGTGGATGTTTTTGCATGAGTTTGTTTGTTTGTTTGTTTTTGCTTTCTTTGCAATGTAGCTAAAGCAAATTGTTTTGTGGACAAAACATAATAATATAATAAAATCTTCATAATAAGAACATAAAAACAACAAACCAAAGTTTTGTTGAAGTAAATAAAAGTGACAGCATCAGTGATTTTTTATCGTAGCAAAGCAAGATGAAAAGGTCACATTAGTAAAAAGTAACAACAGCACAGAGAGAATTTCTGTACATCTAATTTAAACTCAAGCATAAGAACTGGAGTCTGCTGTTAATGCTTCACTTCTATTTATTTTAAATTGTTGCTATCACTGAGGTCTTCTCAGAAATACGTATAACATATATGTGGATCACATGCATGTATTAATTATTATTATGACCCCCTGTACACAAAGCAGGGATCATATTGTTTTCATACTGTGTTTTTTTTTTTTTTTTTTTTGGTCAACCATAGCACAGAAGCAATTACTTTGATCAACATGAAATTTGGCAGGAATGTAGATGTGTTCAACCTACGCTGTGCCTGCCAACAGTTTTACAATGGACCCCATATTTGAGGAGGGGGCTCCAMCTGAAAAGGAGGCGTCTGGACATGCAAAAAATAGAACTTAAAAACTATTCAATAAAAGAGCTTCAGATGTTTCTTGTTTTGTTTTGTTTTGTTTTTTGCTCTGCTCTGTTCAATCGGGCCCACCAATGACACCCACCACCCACCCCATCTGAAAAGGGGGTGTCTGAACATGCAAAAATGCTCATAACGCAAAAACTTTTCAACATAGGAGCTTCAGTTTTTTTGTTTTTTTAAGCTCTGATGAAGGGCTGTCGATTGGGCCCACCAATGACCCCCACTTAAAACAATAAATATGTTCTGATGACATCTGAGTTCTGGTGTACTGGTGCTTTGCGTACATTCGTGGGTCATATTTGGTTTCTAGTTTGTTCTTTAGCAGCAACAATTCAACTCAACATCAGCACTGATGAAGAAAATCTTGTTTGATTATGTTTTATTACGTTTTCATCAYGTTTGTAACAAAGTTAAACCTTCAGTAAAGCATCCACTTGGTTTARCTTTAACCTATTCGCCCAAAAGCTCTTAAGTTTTAATAAAATGGCATATAGCTCAWATAATCTCAGCTGACCTTTAGATCAATGAAAACTGATACGGGGGTGTCGTCGTCACTAATAAGTCCTAATCTAAATGAAAATGTATTAAACTAAAGATGAGGAAATGCTTAGTCATGTCAAAATACTGTTTGACTACACCATGATATTTTCCAACTGTAGTAAAGCTGAAAATGAGAGATCTGAGGCTTGTTTTGGACGTAAATCTATCTGTTGGTCTCAGGAGTTCTCTCGTCACCACAAAGCTGAAAGCTGGGAGAGTATTTGAAGAAAAGGTCATCTCTGTTTGAAAAACCCTCTTATGTGCTTTTGAAACTGCAACATAATTTGGAGAGTAGCAGCTTTATTAGAACTAGCTGTAGTGGACTGACCTTTGGCATTAAATACACTGATGCATTCTGTCAGGCATATGATGTGCACTCCTAATTGTGCAAAATAATGATTTAGCTTCCAGGCAGATGTTGTAGTTATGTGTTTAACATGAAGAAACACGTTTTTTTCTCCTGAAATTCTGGATAGGTTGATTGGTTTGAAAAACGGGTCACGGACCGCAGCTGAACACCTACAAACCTAAGGCGGTCAGATTACTCAGAATGTGGTGGGACAAAGCTGATGCAATGGAATGATATTTGTGACAGAGTGCACAAAATGGAACAAGGACATGGTTCTAATGCAGGTTCAGGTTCAGAGAGACAAGGCTTCAGAGCAGCAGACTGTGTTTACTGGAGCAGGAAGAATAAAATAATTTATTACAGAAGCGCAGAGGTAAAATGTTATAATGCAAAAATGTATTTGACCCAGTTGATTAAAAAACCCACAAAGATGCTTTCCTCAACAAGGATTTTTTTAATGAAAGGTCATATTTGGTGTAAATTCATCTCCAGAGACATTTTTTGTTTTCTTAAGTGGTTCAGAAGTTAAGTGGAAAGGGTGAGGGGTAACGCTTAATGGAGCTGCTAACTAAAAATTAAATATATTTGAGAGATTTGGAAAAGAGCATTAAAATAAAAATTATCCAACTATTAAAATTAAAATTTGAGGAACTGAAAACTTGTTTATTAACATAAAAATGTTAATCCAAATGTGATTTTAACATATATAACCATATTTAAATGGATTTAGGTAATTATTATATATACTATATATATATATGAATAGATTTTGACAATGCTTAAACACAATTGTAATTTGGGACTAAAATCTAAAATTTTGAAACCTAATCTGTTTAGGACATGTATAGAGAATAAGGACCAACAGAAATGTTAAAGCTGCTGTCAGTGGCTCATTAGGGTCATCATGGTAATCACACACCTGTGTCTCTCATTCCCTGATAGCAGTTCTAAKAAGGCCCCGGTCTCTGGAAAATGTTGGTGTTTATTGGGGCAAATATYAAGATTGCCAGATGGGACATGGTAAACTATTGTACTGTCCCTTTAAAGTGATTGTATTTTGACCCAAACTTTCATATATGCTGYGTGAGGGTGTTGTAAGATAAGGTGTGTTGTATTTGGTGAATGTGTGCACAGAAAAAAAGGGGGGACTTATTTTTGTACTTATCTGGCAACCCTAATGCCGGTCTTACTCATGCATGGAATATGTAGTATCTGTATGATTACAGTTATGTTTAACCTAGTGAATAAAGTGACGTTCCTTCAGACCTAGGATGTTCTTTGGTTTTGCTCCTACATGCTTCAAAGGGTGAGGAACACAAATAAACACTCTGCTGTCTGTAACTTCTTGTTTTGCACAGATTAAAAGTTCAAATCTAAAATGTCCAAAACTCATGGGCTGAAAATAAAAGAGTCAAAGACTAGATCTGGCCCATGGGCCTTGAGTTTGATGCTGTATATGTTGTCCACAGTGTATGATGTACAGCTTCCAAAAGTCATGTTTTCTGGATTTTTGCGTGGCTTTTCCCAAAATTTTATAACAGTAGCAAATCAACAATTATCGTGCTAAAATCAGAAGATTAACCAAATAGCAACAATGGTGCTTGATTTTACACTGGCACGTTTAATAAACCTCTGTGTCCCAATGGAGAACGACATTTTTCAGTTGGATTTTCACAGCTGTTGTGAGCAAAGAGCCAGGGTGTTTGTGTTGATGAGTACAAACATGAAGAGCAAAGATGARACTCTGTTGTGTTGTCAGCTGCCTTTTGAAGACCAAGTGGGAKACGGTTGTGTGTCAGAATCAAGTAGAACCCAGTGTGGGCTCTGCATTTTCCATTTACTGTAAACCCGTATAAATAATAAACCCTCAGCTTCCCTGATCACTTCTGAGAAAGGGGAAGGAAAGACGCTAAACAAAATTCTCCGTTGAGGTAACGACACTCGCAACACTGAAGTTTTCTTTTGTTTGTTTTTTTTTTATTCCTGCTGACAGACGTGTCGTTCTGCACTGTAAGCAAAGATAAAGGTTTATGT